AAACCACCAGTCTTGGAGACCACCAAGGACCCCACATTACTATTTCTAAACGTTTCCAGCCATTTCTATAACAATGACCTCACTCTCATCACCAACACCTAAAATTAGACTTTCTTTTTTCTTTTTAGGTTCAAGTATAAAATCCAGAAGTGGTTTCCAAATGGAAACAAAAACTAGATAAATTCTTTTCTTTAATTAGCACAATCAGTTTTAGGATCTCTGCCAACCCCATCACTTCACCATCCATTCTTCTATTGTGGGAAAATTGCTTGCATGAGGTTCTCGCCCATGTGTAAGCTGATTGTTGCAACGTTGATCTTCTCCCTGTTTAATTCCAGATGTTGTTCGTCTCTTTCTTTTCGCTCTTCAGCCTCCTAATAAATAAAGCTTTTATTTGTTGAAGCAAACCGCCCTGTCAAAATCGGATAGGTTCAATCGAAACACATGGGAGTGTATTTGCAAAACCTCACGGTGTGGAGGGTGTCCAAAACACACACACACAATTCACACTTTGACGTGGCTGAAAGTATTTTCCTGTCTCCAAAGCTCAGGACTGCTGAGCTGGTTGGTGTTTCCCTGACTTGAAAGATGCAAGGCCAGCTTTGCTCCAGAAAGGCTGGAATGGTTGACGTTCTAGGTCTAACAATAGGTCTAAGCTGTAGAAGGAATATCTAGAACGGTGGTTCTCAATCTTGGTAACTTTATGATGTGTGGGTCTCAACTCCCAGAATTCCCAGCAAGTCATGCTAAGATGCAAGGCCAGCTTTGCTCCAGAAAGGCTGGAATGGTTGACGTTCTAGGTTCCAATCCATAGAAGGAATATCTAGAACAGTGATAGAATGGTGTTACTCGTTCTTGGACACTTTAACTCAGAATTCAACTCCCAGAATTCCGCAGGTAGCCAGCCATGCTAAGATGCAGGGGATGGTGGACATTCTAGGTCTATCAATGATTCCAAACTGTAGAAGGAATATCTAGAACAGTGGTTCTCAATCATGGCAACTTTAAGAGTATGGACTTCAACTCCCAAAATCCCCTAGCTAGCCATGTTGATATGAAGGTTTTCTCCAGATTGGCTTGAATTGTGGATGTTTTCGGTCCAACATATACTTCCAAGCTCAACTTCCAGAATCCCCCAGACAAACATGCTGAGATGAAGGTCCAGCATCTCTCCAGATACGCTGGAATGGTGGACAATCTAGGTCCAGCACATAGTTCTAAGCTGTAGAAGGAATATCTAGAAGAGTGGCATCTTTAAGACGTATGGACCTCAACTCCCAGAATCCCCCAGAGATGCCAGGCCAGCTTCTATCCAATCGGTCTGGAATGGTGGATGTTGAGATGAGAGTTAGCTGGGGAATTCTGGGAGTTGAGGTCCAAAAATCTTAAAGTGGTCAAGGTTGAGAGACACTCATCCACATCTCTTCTCCACCGTTGTCCTCTTTGACTTAATAGAAAATCTGCAGCATGAAAAAGGATCTTCTTTTCCTGAATAATAATAATAAGATAACAAAATACAAAGACCTACAAATAGAAATAGAAAGACTGTGGCAAAAGCAAGCAAGGGTAGTACCAATAGTCATAGGCTCCTTGGGTGCAATCCCAAAACAACTGGAGCACCACTTGAACACCATCATCGGCACTGACAAATTCGCTTTAGTCAATTGCAAAAGGCGGCCTTATCAGGAACTGCTTCCATCCTGCGACGATATCTGTAATACCATCAAACATCCACATCTGCCTATCCCAGGTCCTGGGTAAGGACTCGATAGGTAGACAAAATGCCAAATCCAGTCTGAACATCTGGCTGACTGTGCGATGATCCATCAATAATAATAATAATAATAATAATAATAATAATAATAGTAGTAGTAGTAGTAGTAGTAGTAGTAGTAGTAGTAGTAGTAGTAGTCCTGGGTAAGGACTCGATAGGTAGACAAAATGCCAAATCCAATCTGAACATCTGGCTGACTGTGCGATGATCCATAATTATTATTATTATTATTATTATTATTATTATTATTATTATTATTATCCTAAATCTCTCCCAGTTCCTCCTGATTTCTTCTTCTCAAGGGTGGACATTCTTCCAACTGGCAGATTCGGCCAACTTGAAGGGGGTCAATGTGCTCTGGAAAGAGAATTCCAGTCTGTGTCACCTGGAAATTTTGAGTTGAAATCACACATCCTGGAAGGAGGCCATCTTAAACCACGTTGGTCATTCCGGCCAAGAAAATGACAGAGACGTATTTGTGAAGACCAACTTGCCTTCACAAGGGAGTCTTTCCCTTAATCGTATTAGCTGGGTTTAATTTATTGACCTTCCTAGTTGAATCATATTTAGTTGGGGGGCTGAGGTCCACCCATTTCTCGGGCCTGGCATCGCCTGGAGGTTGGAAGGAGAAGCTCTGATGCCTTCTCCAGATGTGATCTTTGGACCAGTAAGAGACGGGCAGTGCCATGCCGACCGTGCCAGGGACTCCAGATGTTTCTGTTTTGAGGAACAACATGTGGACGTCAGTCTGGAGGGCGTAAGATGGCGGCTGGTTTACTCATTTGTCTGTTGGCTCCCCTTTGCTGCCTGAGGGCTGTCCTTCCACGTTGGTGACTTCTGGACCTGTAGGCTTGGGAGAAACATCTCAGCCTTGCAACCATGAGAACTTCCAGATCTCAGGCATGGTGACTCCTTGGTCCCATCTTGACCTTTGGAGCAAAACCTTTAGGCAGGCAAGTCCTACCTGGAATCGGTGGGATCTTCATAAGGGACGATCTGATGTTAGAGTCAGGAAGGTCCCTGAGTTGTGACTAGGGAAGGGTCCTGAAGGACAGGCCCACCCGGGGCTTTTGGGGTCTTTGGCAGAGCTCAGGGTGGCATGCCAATGCCTCATGTGGGTCAATCTTGGTGGCCAAAGCCGTGGGTTTGCCCTTCCTTCCTTCCTTCCTTCCTTCCTTCCTTCCTTCCTTCCTTCCTTCCTTCCTTCCTTCCTTCCTTTCCTTCTTTCTGTTTCCTTTCTCCTTTATTCTTTTTTTTTTTACATTTTATACCCTCCCTCTCTCCCACCCACCATTCCTTCCTTCCATTCATTCTTTTTTTCTTTCTGCACTTCCTCTCTCCCTCTTTTGCTTCTTTGCCTTTCTTCCTTCTTTACTTCCTTCCTTCCTTTTTCTTCCTTTTTTTCTTTCTCTCTCTCCCGTATTTACTTGTTTCTTTCTTTCCTTTCCTTTTCTCTTGCTTTTCTCTCTCCCTTCCTCTTTCTTCCTCTTCCTTTCTTGCCCTCCTTCCTCTTCCTTCCTCCCTCCCTCCCTCCTCCTCCATTTCCTCCCTTCCTCCCTCGTTTCTTTCCTTAGTTTCTCCTTCCTTCCTTTTTCTTCTTCCTTTTTTCTTTCTCTCTCCCGTATTTACTTGTTTCTTTCTTTCCTTTTTTCTCTTTCCTTTTTTCTCTTTCCTTTCTCTCTCCCTCTTCCTCTTTCTTCCTCTTCCTTTCTTGCCCTCCTTTCTCTTCCTTTCTTCCTTCCTCCCTCCTTCTCCATATCCTCCCTCCCTCCTTCCCTCGTTTCCTTCCTTCCCTCAGTTTCTCCTTCCTTCCTTCCTCCTATCCTTCCTTCCTTCCTTCCTCCATTATTCTCCTTTCCCCTCCCCTTCCCCTCTGTCTTTTTCTAATACTCTTGAGGCTTCTGTCTCCAGCTTCTTTCCAAGCAGGGCTCATCCTTCCCATAACAGACCCTCCACAAGGGCCCACCAGCCACCCCACCCCCACCCCGCCTGCCTGCCTGCCAGCTGCGGTTGGCCCTGCCCCGCTCAGAGTGCCAGCCTAACCTTGGGGTGATTTATATTCTGTTCTGCCAGACCAACACCTTGGGAGCTGGCTTGGCGTCTCTTTCCATGCAAAGATGCAGAAGGTTTATGTGGGCTTCCCACATGGAGCAGATGTTGAGTCAAGCACGAAAGAAAGAAAGAAAGAAAGAAAGAAAGAAAGAAAGAAAGAAAGAAAGAAAGAAAGAAAGAAAGAAAGAAAGGAAGGAGAAAAAGGAAAAGAAAGGAAAAAGGAAAGGAAGGGAGTGAGTGAGTGAGTGAGTGGGAGGAAGGAAGGAAGGAGAGAGGGAAGGAAGTACAGAAAAAAAGAAAGAAGGGAGGGAAGGAGAAAGGAAGGACAGAAAAAAGAGGAAGGAAGGGATGTGGGAAGGAAGGAAGGAAGGAAGGGGGCAGAAAGGAGGAAGAAAGGAAAAGGGAAGGAAGTACAGAAGAAAAAGAAAGGAAAGGGATGGAAAGAAGGGAGGGAGGGAGAAAAAGGGAGAGGAGAGATGGAAGGAAGGAAGGAAAGGAAAGAGGGGAGGAAGTTACAGAAGAAAAAGAAAGGAAGGGGAGGGGAAGGACAGAAAAAAAAGAAGGAGGAAGGAAGGAAAGAAGGGTCAAATGGGAAGGGAGAGAGGGACGACTGCCAGAATTTATTCCATAATTACAGCTTTGATAAAGTCAGACAAACAAACCACAGTTATCTCTTCTAATGTGGCAAGGGGAGAAATATTTCCCAGAAAGAGAAAGGAAGTGTTGTTAAGTTACGCAGTTGTGTTGAATGTTTCTGTATATGTACCAGTAATGCTGAGTGTTGTTAAGGGAATCACTTCCGTTGTTAACTGAGTCATGTGCCATTAAGCAAATCCGACTTCCCCCATTGCTGTGATTGTTGGAACCCAGCTGGGAAGGTCGCAAATGGCAATCACAGGACCCAGGATGCTGCGACCGTCATAACTACGAGTCAATTGCCAAGTGTGCGAATTTTGATCACATGACCAGGGGGATGCTGCAATGGTTGTGAGTCCAAAAAAACGATCATAAGTCCCTTTTTTTCAGTGCTGCTATAACTTTGATCAGTCGCTAAACATAAATCCAGGATTGGCTGCATCTGCAGAATGAGAGGTCACAAGTCCCACCTTTGTGATTTGTGATTTGTGTCTGTGATCACCCATCGCTGTACAACTTCCCTGTTTCTGTCTTGCAGATGGATTTTGTGCCCCCGAGTGGGACAACCTCATTTGCTGGCCCCAGGGCCCCCCCGGGAAAGTGGTCTCCATGCCCTGCCCAGATTACATCTACGACTTCAACCATGAGGGTAAATATGGACCTGCCCATCCGTCTTTATCTCTCTCTCTCTCTCTCTCTCTCTCTCTCTCTCTCTCTCTCTCTCTCTCTCTCTCTCTCTCTCTCTCTCTATCTATCTCTCTATCTCTATCTCTCTATCTATATCTATCTCTCTATCTCTCTGTCTCTCTATCTATGTCTATCTATCTCTCTCTATCTCTCTCTCTATCTATCTATCTATATCTCTATCTCTACCTATCTCTATCTCTCTATCTATATCTCTCTATCTATATCTCTCTATCTCTCTCTCTATCTCTCTCTATCTATTCTATCTATCTATCTCTATCTCTCTATATCTGTCTATTTATCTATCTATCTATATCTATCTCTCTATCTTTTTATCTCTCTATCTCTGTCTCTATCTCTATCTATCCCTATCTATCTATTTCTCTCTCTATCTATATCTATCTATCTATCTCTCTATCTATCTACAGTATCTCTATCTCTCTATCTATCTATCTATCTACAGTATCTCTATCTATCTATCTATCTCTATTTCTCTATCTATCTATATCTCTCTATCTCTATCTATCTATCTATCTCTATCTACCTACCTGTCTGTCTGTCTGTCTGTCTGTCTATCTATATCTATCTATCTATCTATCCATCCATCCCTCCACCTAGCTAGCGAGCTTGCTATCATCTAGCTATCATCTATCTCTATATAGAGATATAGATCTATCATCTATATCTATATATCTCTATCTATCTGTCATCTATCTGTCTATCATATCTGTCTATCTCACCATATCTCTCTCTCTTTTCCTGTGTATCTCTTCCTATTATTCCATCCATCTCTCTACTATATCAATTAATCATAGCAAACATATCTATCCATCTTTTTATTTATGCCTCCATCTCTCCATCTATCCCTCCATCCACCTATCCATTATCTATCTGTCTGTCTGTCTATCTATCCATCCATCATCTATCTATCATCTATCATCTATAAACTTATCTGTCTAACTGTCAATCATTTATCTATCTCTCCTTATCTATCTATCAATCTATTTATTCTTTTTATCTATCATCTATCATCTCTTTTCTCTCTCAGTCAGTGTCTGTCTGTCTATCTATCTATCTATCTATCATCTATATGTATCATCTATCTACCTATCTGTCTATCTGTCTATCATTTATCTATCTATCTCTATCTATCTATCTATCTATCTATCTATCTATCTATCTATCTATCTATCTATCTATCTATCTATCTAAATGGCACATGCCTCACACCCACTTCAGTAAAAGGTGTTGATAAAATAAAGTTATAATCTACCAGGGCTGAACATTGGGAGGTGCGCAATGTAGAAGCTGCTGAGAGCAATTCATATTGTTAATATTTTCATGCTGATCCCAGCTATCTTTCATTCCTTTGCAGGAAATGTCTCAAAAATCCTCTTTCAATGTGAAGAAGGATAATTTGCTTTAAATTCAATTAAATTCAGTCCCCGGATTTGGAGGAATAACACAGATCCCCTGATCCAAAATTCCTGCTTTTTAAATTTCATGTGGCAGGCTGTTCCACAGGATCACCGCTGGTGCCAATGTTTCTCAGTCTCAGCCACTTTAAGATGTGTGGATTCAACTCCCAGAATTCCTGGGGAGCCCCACCTCCAAACCCCTTAAAATCAGCTGAAATAATTCCAAGAGAAACTTGAAAGAAATTCTAAACCTTCCAAGAATAAAGCAGAAAAACAGAAGCCTCTTTTTTCAGTCTCAACCAAACCTTCCATAAACTGAGAATCGTGGTTTGTAGGCCCACTAGCTGAAACAGCCCAGGCTCTCCAACCACCCCACACACCTCTTGGCCCTCTGACCTTATTCCTGCCCCCTTTGTGTGGGTCCAACTGAGGCACAACTTTGGGGGTACCACTAGGTGACCAAAGACAATTTATTCCCTGTTTCACGTCATCTCTGCCCTTCTGCCAGGTTATGCCCATCGGCAGTGTGACCTGAACGGCAGCTGGGCGTTGGTGCCCAACGAGAACCGTACCTGGGCAAACTATACCGAATGTGCCAAGTTTCTTGTTATCGACAGCACGGAAAAGGTGAGTGGCGACCTGGGTGATGAGAAGGAAGTGGGACACCCAGGGGTTTGAATTGGATTGATTGATTGATTGATTGATTCATCCAATCATTCATTCATTCATTCATTCATAATCTTTATTTATTTAATCATACATTATTAACTTACAACCAGAAGTTGTACTTGCTCCGTCACTGGAGGTTTTTAAGAAGAGATTGGACAACCCTTTGTTGGAATAGCATAGGGTCTCCTGCTTGAGCAGGGGGTTGGACTAGATGACCTCCAGGGTCCCTTCCAACGCTGCTCTTCTCTGATTCTGTAAGGGTCTCCTGCTTGAGCAAGGGGGTTGGACTAGATGACCTCCAAGGTCCCCTCCAACTCTGTTATTCTGTTATTTATAATCTATATTGATTAATTAAACATAATTAAATATAATTAATTGATTATATTTATTGAATTTCTATCCCACCTTTATTATTTTCATAAACAACTCGAGAGCGAACACACATGATACTCCTTCTACCTCTTATTCTCTGCACAACAACAACCTTGTGAGGTGGGTGGGGCTGAGAGAGAAAGACTGGCCCAGAGTCACCCAATCAGCTTTCACTGAGGCGGGACTAGAACTCACCATGATTGGCCCAGAGTCACCAACTGGCTTTCATTTCTAAGGCGGGACTAGAACTCACTGCCTCCTGGTGATTGGCCCAGAGTCATCCAGTCAGCTTTCACTGAGGCGGGACTAGAACTCACCATGATTGGCCCAGAGTCACCAACTGGCTTTCATTTCTAAGGCGGGACTAGAACTCACTGCCTCCTGGTGATTGGCCCAGAGTCATCCAGTCAGCTTTCATGCCTGAGGTGGGACTAGAACTCACCATGATTGGCCCAGAGTCACCAACTGGCTTTCATTTCTAAGGCGGGACTAGAACTCACTGTCTCCTGGTGATTGGCCCAGAGTCACCCAGTCAGCTTTCATGCCTGAGGTGGGACTAGAACTCACCATGATTGGCCCAGAGTCACCAACTGGCTTTCATTTCTAAGGCGGGATTAGAACTCACTGTCTCCTGGTGATTGACCCACAGTCACCCAGTCGGCTTTCATGCCTGAAATGGGACTAGAACTCACCGCCTCCTGGTGATTGGCCTGGAGTCACCAACTGGCTTTCGTGCCTAAGGCGGAACTAGAACTCACTGCCTCCTGGTTTCTAGACCACTACACCAAACTGACTCAGAATCATCTCTAGGTGCAGATCCAGCGGTGTTCCAAAATAGCTGCAAACTTTCACACAATTGAAAGTGTGAGCAATAATGAAACACTCAATGTTGTCTCCTGCTTTCCGTGATTAACCGCTGATTGTGGCTTCTGTGCAACTCATTAACTTCCATAATTGGCTTACTAAGCCCCCCCCCCTGGGTTTAGCATGCCAGTTAATAAAAATACTTCCTCAGTTACATTTTGTAAGCCATCCTGGCCTGTCGTAGTGGCAGCTATGCATAATGCATTCATTTACAGTTAGTCCCCAATTTACGAGTAGAATTGGGGCTGGAATGTGAACTGCTAAGTGAGGTGGCCGTTAAGTAAGTCAAACTTGACCTTGTAAGCTTTTTTGCCTCCGTTGTTAAGATAATCCCTTCACTTGCTGGCTGGGAAGGTTGCAGACGTTGATAATGTGACATCCAGTCACCCAGCTGGCCTTGATGCCTAAAGTGGGACTAGAACTCACCCTCTTCTGGTGATTGGCACGGAGTCACCCAGCCGGCTTTCCATGCCTAAAGTGGAACTAGAACTCACCATCTCCTGGTGATTGGCCCAAAATCTCCCAACTGGCTTTGATACCTAAGGAGGGACTAGAACTCCCGGTCTCCTGGTGATTGGTTCAAAGTCACCCAGCCGGCTTTCCACGCCTAAAGTGGGACTAGAACTCACCATTTCCTGGTGATTGGCCCATAGTCACCCAGCCAACTTTCATGCCTAAGGAGAGACTAGAACTCACCATCTCCTGGTGATTGGCCCAAAATCTCCCAACCGGCTTTGACGCCTAAGGAGGGACTAGAACTCCCAGTCTCCTGGTGATTGGCCCAAAATCTCCCAACCGGCTTTGACGCCTAAGGAGGGACTAGAACTCCCAGTCTCCTGGTGATTGGCCCAAAATCTCCCAACCGGCTTTGACGCCTAAGGAGGGACTAGAACTCCCAGTCTCCTGGTGATTAGCCCAAAGTCCCCCAGCGGGTTCCATTCCTAAATTGGTACTAGAACTCACCGTCTCCTGATGATTGGCCCAGAGTCACCCAGCCAGTTTCATTCAGTGCTGGCTTAGAACTGACGTCCACCCATCTTAGATTGACAAACACATCTCTGCATCCTTTTGTATATGTGTGTTGCAGGAAGTTTTTCATCGGCTTTATGTGATTTATACCGTTGGTTATTCCATCTCGCTGGGATCGCTGACAATTGCGGTTATGATCTTAGCTTATTTCCGGTAAGTTGGGGCCATGCCTGATAAAAAGCCTTCCTTCCATAGATCCCCTTTTTCCTGCGAGGTTTGCAAATAAGGTCAAAAAAGTCAAAATGGCAGCTACGTCAATGCCAATCCCCACCCCTTGTGAAGGTCCGCCCCTTCACATGTCCAAACAAAGGGGTGGGGCTTCCATCACACTGTATTTATAATCATAGAATCCTAGAATCATAAAGACTGGAAGGGACTTCCGAGGTCATCTAGTCCAACCCCCTGCCCAAGATAGGAGATCTTATACCATCCCAATCAAACTCAAGTCCAATCTTTTCTTGAAAGCTCTCTGCCATCTTGACTTATTTGACCCACATAAAGGCCAACTTTGGCTTTTAGCCACCTTAACTGGTTTTAAATTGGTTTATGGGGTCCTTAAGCCATTATTTTATATTTCACAAAAAGAAAAAGCAGCACAGAAAATCCTTATTGCTTTTGTAGTTTTTGCGTGTTTTCAATCTATCCATGCACTGTGTTCTATATCTTATTTTGTTATGTTTCTAAATTTATAAAAGCTGCTATTTTATAAAACAAGCGACTTTTGTCCTATTGTTTTGGCTTTTCTTTTCTTTTTTTCTGTTCGTGTTCTATTCTATTCTATTCTGCTCTGTTCTGTTTCGTTCTGTTCTCTGTTCTCTTTATTCTATTATGTTCTGTTCTCTGTTATATTATATTCTCTATTCAGTATATTCTGTTGTATTCTGTTCTCTGTTCTCTATTCTTTATTCTATTCTGTATGTTCTCTATTCTATTCTATTCTCTATTCAATATATTCTATTCTGTTCTGTTCTCTGTTCTCATCTCTTCTTTATTCTATTCTATTCATAATTCTATTCTATACTATTCATTATTCTATTTTATTCTATTCTATTAATTTATTAATTTATTCTATATTCTATTCTATTCTATTCTATTCTATTCTATTCTATTCTATTCTTATTAATTTCCATTGTATTTTCATTTTATTATTTTACTACCTTGTATTTTCATTTTATTATTTTATATCATTTTTTTTCACAATCTAACACCCCTGCCTACCTTCTGTATAGGTAGTCCTTGACTTACACTCACACCGGAGGCAAAAATTCCTGTTGTTAAGTGAGATATATGTTGAGTGAGTTTTGCCCCACTTTATGACCTTTCTCATCTCTGTTGTTAAGTGAATCATCACAGGTGATAAGTTAGCAACACAGATCTTAAGTGAATCCAGCTTCCCCCATTGACTTTGTTAATCAGATGGTCGCAAAAGGGGATCACGTGACCCCGGGACAGTGGAGCTGTCATAAATACAAATCAGTTGCCAAGCGTCTCAATTGCGATCAGGTGACCGTGAGGATGCTGCAGCAGTCCTAAGTCTGAAAAACAGCCATAAGTCCCTTTTTTCAGTTGCCGTTGCAACTTCAAACAGTCACTAAATGAATGGCCGTATGCCGAGGACTACCCTGACTCAATTTTTATGGTGCACTTATTCTTGTTTTATTGACTGATTAAATTCAGACGCCGCCCGTCTTGCCATTAATCAACTAGGTGGGTTCGTGTCTGAGTCCTTTCCAGCCAAATTCAAGTCACCAGTTCAAATGCCATTCCCGAGGTCAGCCTGCGAACGAATCCCTTGCCAAGGATTAGCCAAGGGCTGAAATTTTGTATTTTTTTCTTGTTCCAGACGTTTGCACTGCACCCGGAACTATATCCACATGCATCTATTTGTCTCCTTCATGCTCCGGGCAATCAGCATCTTTGTGAAGGACGCCGTGCTGTATTCCGGTTCAGCCCTGGAGGAGATGGAAATAATCCCGGAGGACGAGTTCCGATCCATGACCGAAGCTACCCCAATGGATAACTCAACCCTGGTTAGTTCCTCCTGCTTGCAAAGACCTTTCCAAGTAAAGAAATGGTCAAGGATTTCCTTTATTTGATCATTTTATTCTGCTTTTATTACTTTATAAATAACTCGGTGTACGTGCCTCCCTCCTCCAATTTTTCCCGCAACAACAACCCTGCAAGTTTAGGCTGAGAGAGAGCGACTGGCCTAAAGTCACTCGGCTTTAGGCATGAAAGCCTCTGGTGGGACTAGAACTCACCGTCTCCTGGTGATTGGCCCAAAGTCATCTAATTGGCTTTTGTGCCTAAGGCGGGACTAGAACTCACCGTCTCCTGCTGATTGGCCCAAAATCACCTAATTGGCTTTTGTGTCTAAGGCGGGACTAGAACTCACTGTCTCCTGGTGATTGGCCCAAAGTCACTCAGCTGAGGTGGGACTAGAACTCACCATCTCTTGGTGATTGGTCCAAAGTCACCCAATTGGCATTTATGCCTAAAGCGGGACTAGAACTCACTGTCTCCTGGTGACTTGTGCAAAGTCACCCAGCTGGCTTTCATGCCTGAGGTGGGACTAGAATTCACCGTCTCCTGGTGTCTGACCCAAAATCACTCAGCTAAGGCGGGACTAGAACTCACCATCTCTTGGTGATTGGTCCAAAGTCAGCCAGCCAGCTTTCCTATCTAAGGCGGGACTACAGCTCACCGTCTTCTAGTGATTGGCCCAAAGTCACCAAACTGGATTTCACGCCTAAGGCAGAACTAGAACTTACCCTCTCCTGATGATCGGCCCAAAGTCATCCAGCCAGCTTTCATGGCTAAGAGAGGACTAGAACTTACCATCGCCCAGTTTAAACAGCCTGTCCAATGTCCACAGCAGGACTTATCAATATTGTCCAATTAACTTCTCTCTCTCTCTCTCTCTCTCTCTCTCTCTCTCTCTCTCTCTCTCTCTCTCTCTCTCTCTCTCGTTTTCTCTCTCTCTCTCTCTCTCTCTCTCTCTCTTTCTCTCTGTCTCTCAGTATCTGTCTCAGTACTCGCCCCAGGTGGGCTGCAAATTAGTCGTGACTCTCTTCCTCTACTTCCTGGCCACCAGTTACTACTGGATTTTGGTGGAAGGACTCTACCTTCACAGCCTCATCTTCATGGCCTTCTTCTCGGAGAAGAAATACCTCTGTGGATTCACGTTGTTTGGCTGGGGTGAGTTGGTCTTTCTGCCAAGGAGGATCTCAGGAGCTTCCAGAAGTTGGTCTCCTGGCCGTGAGAGGTCCATAAACACCTCTTGCAACTCATCTTTGGTGGTTCTTGGGTAAAAATAAAGAAGGGAAGATCAAACTGAGATACAAAGATGTCCCAAAATGGGACAATCCGAACCTTCACTTGGGAGTCCCTCTAGATGTTGGTGGAAAGGCGAGATTTATGGAAATCATGATGTAGATTAAACCGTGATTTAAATAAGATCCTTCCTTCTGGACAACATCCACCTATGTGGTTGATAAAAGCTCACACTGTCTAGATGGACCCTAAATCGACTCATTAAAGATCTTTAGATGTTATTGCGCAAAACTGACCTTGAGATTGAGTGAAAGAGTTCCTGAATTTCTCCTGAACATTTTGGTGAAATTTAGAGGATGAAGAATATGCTCCTGGTGACTTGAGCCATCTTTATGTCTTGAGATCTGAATTCCCAAAGGTGTTCAAAGCAATGCACCGGTGGAATAATGGAGGATCTCTCTTTCATCACCTTCCACATTTTTGGTATTAGATGATGGTGGAATTATGGGGTCCTGGGCACTCTCTGAGCTTGGTTGTTCTCTTGCAGACATTTTATGACTCAGCTAGGTAATTCTGTCACTGCTAGTGAGTGGGGATTCTGATGATGTTACCTAGTTGGGTCATGAAATGTCTGCAAGAAAATAATCAAGCTCAGAGAGCACCAAGGACCCCACAGTCATCCTCCTCCTCTCTTTTTTCTTCCTCCTCCTCTCTGTAAACCCACTCCTAGCATTGATGATATTCCATAGTTTGGTCATGAAATGCCTTCAACAAAACCACCAAACTCAAAGAGCACCAAGAACCCCATAGTCCTCCTCCTCCTCTTCCTCCTTCTCCTCCTCCTCCTCTTCCTCCTCCTCTCCCCCCTCCTCCTCCTCCTCCTCCTCCTCCTCCTCTCTGTAAACCCCATTCCCTTCTCGTACTGATATTGCTTACTTTGGTCATGAAATGTCTTCAACAAAACCACCCAACTCAGAAAACACCAATAACTTCCCAGATCTCCTCCTCCTCCTCCTCCTCCTCCTCCTCCTCCTCCTCCTCCTCCTCCTCTCTGCAAACTCCACTCCCTTCTACACTGAAGATGTTACTTAGTTGGGTCATGAAATGTCTGCAAGAAAACCATCAAACTCAGAGAGCAGTGAAGACTCAACCCTGAGCTATCAATATTCTCTTCTAGTTTAGTGTTTAGTGTTCAGTGTCTAGAGGGGCATGGCTAGTTAGATTTTTAGATGTTTCTTCAACTGTTTTGAGGACTAGTGGCAAATAAAGGACCCTCAGCTATTAAGGTGGGAAAGAGTTGAACTATACCAAGTCAGATGTTGGCTTCTTCTCTAGAGCTCTCCTATTTCTTGGGGAACATTAGACCACATGTCAAAAGTCAACTTTCTCTAAAGATCTACCTGCTCCTGTTCTTCTCCACTTCTTCTCTGCATCCAGAGAAATCAATCACCTCTTCTCTTAAGACTTTTCACGTCTGCAATAGTGATAAATGAGGTCCTCTAGTTCTTCAGCTACTGATGTCCCAAAACAACGTCAATGAAGTTTACATCCCTCCAATGTGGCTCAGAAGACTCCAAAAGTCACTTGGGTGGAAATGATCTCAGTTTATTTGACCTAGAAACATCTGGCTTTGCATTTCACGTGGCTTTGGAGCTGCCAGACTTGAGTGTCTGGCCTTGAGTTCCTCCATCTTAAATCTTTCAACGACATGTCCTACAGGAGAAGGTCAGGAGGACTTTTTGAAGGCTACCAAAGTCTCCGAATCCTCCTGAACGTGTTTATGAGGTGGGATGGAACCCCTCAACCCTCTAGATTGGAGAAATGCCTCCATCAACTTTTTTTTCTCTCTTCTTCCACCCCGTCTTTGAGGTCAGGTCTCCGAGTTTATCCTGAGCACATTTGTCTGGACACGAGAACGGAAAGCTGCAATTTTAGCCGAAAACAGGATGTGGGATGTAGTGGTGGGCAGATCATTAGCCAAGGTCTGTTTTCCTTGCAGGCGTCAAGGAAAGAAACATTAAGATCTCCAAAATAGCTTGGGCTGACCAAGAGGAAGGTGGACATTTTGTAGAAGCATGGGTGTATGCGTGTGAGAGACATTTTAGAGAGACAGTCACAGTCATTCTCAAATCCATGAAAAGTTTTGGAAGAGAAGAACCGCAGACCCTCCTAATCTGGGAAGGTCAGCCTCATTGACTGAGTTTGGGAATTGGGACCTTCTTGAGTGGGCCACCAGGTTGACCACCAGCTTGCTTCTGGGAGGCCATAAGTTCTCATGAACTTTTGCTCCTAGAGAACTTCAGTTCACCTTATTCTCCACCATTCCACCATTCCCTTAGAAACATCATAATAGATGATAGGATTGGTCACAGAATCAACCAGATGTTCAAACTAGATTTGGCCTTTAGGTCCACTCCCGAGTCCTTCTCAACGACCTAGAATAGCTAGGTGTGGTTGTTTGATAGCGTTCAAGATCACATTGGCAAGCTGTTCCAAGCAAAGCTGCTTTTTGCAATTGACTGGTGGGAATGGTGTCAATGACAGCAGTGTTCAAGGGATGCTCCAGTTGTTGTTATTATTAGGGTTGCTTGCACAGCCAGCCAGATGTTTAGACTGGATTTGACCTTTAGGTTCACCTCTCTAGTCCTTGCCAAGGACCTGGGATAGCCAGATGTTGTTTGATGGATTAAAAATATTGGCATGGGATATCAGCTGTTCCAAGTCAAGCTGCCTCTTGCAACTGACCGATAGGGAATTTGTCAATGCCGGTAGTGTTCAAGGGATGCTCCAGATGTTTTGGGATTGCACCCAAGATGCTATCACTATTGATCCTAATTTTGCTTTCTTTTGCCACATTTGTTCAACTTCTATTTCCAGGTCATTTTGTGAACTTTTACAGTTCTTTCTCTTCTCTTCTGCTGCCTCCAGGTACAGGTGTCCTCAACTTATGACCACAGTTGAGCTCAAAATTTGTGTTGTTAAGTGAGTTTTGCCCCATTTTTTAACCTTTCTTGACACAGTTGTTAAGTGAATTGTTCAGTTAATAACATGTTTTTTAAGTGAATCTGGATTCCTGCTTATCAAAAGTTCGCAAAAGGAGATCACGTGACCCCGGGCACTGCGACCATCGTAAATATGAGTCAATTGCCAAGCGTCTGAATTTTGATCACGTGACTGTGGAGATGATGGAACGGTCATTAAGTGTGAAAAACGGTGCTAAGTCACTTTTTCAGTGCCATTGTAACTTGGTCATTAAATGAACTGTTGCGAGTCTAAGTCTAGGACTACCTATATAATTGTCCCAAATGAATATCTCAGTCTGGGTGTTGATAACTTGTGATTCAGGTGCAAACCAAGATCCTTAGGTCTGTCTCAACTCACAATCACAACAATTTACAAAAGAAATTCCGGTCTCTATTGTTGTCATAAGGCAAGAACGGCCTGTAAATCAAAGCTGTAAATCTCCAGGCAATAATGTGGGGTTGTGTGGTTGCAGTTATTGCTTGCTTTGCTGTAGAATTTTAGTGTTGGAATTGCAGGCATGTTGTTGTTGTGATGTAGGCCGAGCAGAGTTAAGAAACACACGCAACCTCAGCGTCAAAGTTCAGAAATTTTACACGGTACAACAGGCCCACCCAGAATACAGCCTTAGCTATTATCCTTCTGTTATTTCCTTCGATTGACGGTTTGTTCTTCCTCCAAAAACTGAAAACGGGCACCCCTAGCCCCCACAGACCACCACATCCCCATCCCTGTCATGAGTGTCATAAAATCAAAATTCAGATTATACCGCACCTTTGCAAAGGGCTAAATGTAAAGAGAAACTTTGGCGAAGAAAATGCAGGTTGTTTTTTAATGCATTATATGCCAAAATCCACCTTGGAAAGGAAATATTCCTTGAAATATTGGCTCGGAACCTGGAACGTCTGATGTGCATTAACAGACTCATCTACCGTAAAAAACACATACACACACACACAAACAAAAAAAAAACCATTGTCTCTCTCAAAATTTAACCAATTTTCTTTTATTATCTCATAAGCTACTGCGTGTTACAGTCCAGCTTGGAACATGACTCTCAAAGTGGAAGCAGGCTGTAAATTACATTACTTTATGCGATAATAAAATAAAATAGGGTTGTGGAGGTTTTTATTTTATTTATTTCTCTCTGCCAAAGGATTGGGAAGTTGGTCATGTGGGCTGGGAAAAAAAAATCCCTCCATTCGTACAGATAACGGTTTACCTCAGAAATGGGTGCCATATTGTCTAGCTTCGACAGCCAAATTAGAAGGCAGAATTGCCGGAAAAAATGTGAGAAAAGAAGAATTAACTTCTTTAAACTGGATTAAATCCAGCCATCGAATAGATTTGCAAATTAAATGCTTTGCTCTCTGGTCTTCTGGAAGAAAATTTGCTATATTGTCCCTACTCACCAAACCATGATCACCTGATGGCCTACTTTCCACATCTATTCTTCTGTTGCTATGTACCTAAAAGGGTTAAACCAAAAGGCACTTATTTGGGGACTGTCTATTGCTAATAACTGGCAAATAATTTCCAAATGGCCTCTATAAAATTCTGTCCTTTTTTTAAATAGAGCTGCAAATACTTAGAAAAATCCAGATTTTTTTTTAAAATACCAAACTTTCTGCTTTTTTGCTGTCTTTCTCCCTTTTATTTATTTATTTATTTATGAGACTTACATACTGCTTTAAGTGCAAGCACTCTCTAAGCGGTGTACACCAGTAAGCAATGTATATATGTATATATTTACATTGCCCCCAACAATCTGGGTCCTCATTTTACCTACCCCGGAAGGCTGAGTCAACCTTGAGCCGGTGAGATTTGAACCGCTGACCTGCTGAACACCGTCAGCTAAAGTGGCCTGCAGTACTGCACTCTAACTGCTGCGCCACCTCGGCTTAGCCAGTTACATGATTTTGCCAATGTTTATTTATTAAATATATCTTTTTTGAATGGCTTTTTTTTTACAGCTGAGAGGTGGCTGTGCTTGCTCTGATTTGAAGGAAATTGGCTGTGATTCTGGAGGCAGCCTAAATTGGAAATGATCCATGGGAATTTTCCAATGATAAAGGCAGGAAAGAAAGAAGGAAAGAAGGAAAGAAAGAAAGAAAGAAGGAAGGAAGGAAGGAAGGAAGGAAGGAAGGAAGGAAGGAAGGAAGGAAGGAAGGAAGGAAGGAAGGAAGGAAAAAGAAAAGGAGAAGGAAGGAAGAAAGAAAGAAAGAAAAAAGAAAAGGAGAAAGGGAAAGGAAGGGCAGGAGGGAGGGAGTAAGGAAGGAATACACAGGGAGGGAAAAGGAAAAGAGGAAAGGGAGGGAGGGAGGAAGGAAATAGGAAGGAAGGAAGGAAGGAAGGAAGGAAGGAAGGAAGGAAGGAAGGAAGGAAGGAAGGAAAGGAAAGGAAAGGAATATCCATCTTCTCCTGGATGTTCTGACCTTGTCCTGGTCCTTCAGCTCTTCTAACAATGGCTCCATCACCACCATAGACCTAAGGTGGAAGGAAAGAGAAGATGAGCACCAGGTTCAGATGGCCTTACTCTGGATATACTTGATGTCTTCTCTGGAGAGGTCCCATGAAGCTAGGAAAGATAGAAGGAGAGAAGGAGACTACCAGTTCAAATTGTCCTGCTTTGGAAAGCGAAAAAGAGGAAGACCAGCAGAAGGTGGAGGGACTCAGCTATGGTGGTGATGGAGCCACTGTTAGAAGGGCTGAAAGACCAGAGAGCTGGGTCTTCACATCATGTGTACGAAATAGGATAATTTGAACCGAGGACTATTGTGCCTCCAATAAGGATATCCAATCCAGCTGTCACCTTTATTCTAAATGAAACATAGATGTTTGCCGCAAAGTGCTAACAAGACAGCACCACAACTCTCCCCACTTCACACACATACACACTAGGAAGGTTGCTGGTGACAAATATGAAATATTGATCCGGTTCTGAGACTCATTCCTGCAATTTGATTTCCATCTCTCAGGCCTTCCGGCGGTGTTTGTCACAATATGGGCAACTCTTCGAGCGACGTTAGCAGACACCGAGTAAGTGTCTGATTTTGCTCTACCTGAATTTCCTTTCATTAAAAAAAAAATATTTTATCTAACTTTGAATCCTGCGGTACAAGTTTTATTTTTTATTTCTGCACAAATTCAGAACTCAGGAAAAAAAATACCTATGAGCTTTGTGACACTTTAAACATGGAATAGAAATAATTTGGCAAAAATAGAGTTAGATAGACAGACAGACAGACAGACAGACAGACAGACAGACAGACAGACAGAGAAAGAGAGATGATGGATGGATGGATGGATGGATGGATGGATGGATGGATGGATGGATGGATGGATACACACACACACACATATATATATATACATACATAGAAATATACATAAATACAAATATATAGAAGGAATAGATAGATGATAGATAGATATAGATAGAGAGAGAGAGGAGACAGATGAGATAGAATAGAGAGAGACAGAGATTGATAGAGAGAGAGAAGAGATAGATAGACAGACAGACAGACAGACAGACAGACAGACAGACAGACAGACAGACACAGACAGATAGACAGATGATAGATATGGATGATGGATGGATGGATATATACATACATATATAGAGATATACATAGATACAAATACATAGAAGAGATAGATAGATAGATAGATAGATAGATAGATAGATAGATAGATAGATAGATAGATAGATAGATAGATATGGATGATGGATGGATACATATTTACATGCATACATAGAGATATACATAGATACAAATACATAGAAGGAATAAATAGATTGTAGATTATAGATAGATAGGCAGGCAGGCAGACAGACAGATAGATATAATAAGAGAGAGAAAGAGATAATAGAGATGAATGGATGAATGGAAGGATGATGATAAATACAAGATGTAGATAGATATAGTTACTTATTTCATTCATATATATATATATATATGAATAACTAATAGACTTGCCTCTCTAAAGAGCTGTAAACTTGGTTTTTCTCTGATCTTGCTTTAAATATTTTTTCCTTTGCTCAAATAAGTGTGAATGTATGTAATATGTACACACTGCCTGTCTGATTGAAAAAAAAAATAATTGGCACTTGAGGATATTTTTTAATCCCAGAGTGCCATATGATTTGTTTTGCTAATAGTCATAATTTGTGTAGCCATGACATTTTTATTCCTCACGAAGCTGGCTGGATCATTTATTACCTCAACATTACTTTCTATTTTTTAAAAAAGATATGTATATTAAAATATTCACTCAAATTCAATGACTGGGTTATTTTTTAAAAAAAAAAAACCAGTCAAGGGAATTTTGTAAAACCCATAGTATGAGTAAAAGCTAGTGTTTTTCAAACCTGGTAATTTTAAGATGTATGAATTTCAACTCCCAGAATTCCCCAGCCATCAAGGGAAGCTGCGGAATTCTGGGAGCTGAAGTCCATACATCTTAAAGTTGCCAGATTTGAAAAACACTCCTAAAAGCCAACCTGTTTGAATCTGTGGTTCCTGAAATAGACAAACCTACTTTTGTTTATCCCTACTCCCTTTTTTTAAAGGGTAGACTACTCCTTTACTTGGAGGCTCAACCTCTCATAAATTTGCTTTCCCAGGCAGGTTGGGGATGACTTCAACAGGTCTTTTGATAAATGAAGATTATAGAAGTTCCTGAAAACAGTCCCTAGAACTGAAAGCTATTTTATAACAAAAAGTAAATAAATAAATCAGATTTATGAAGCAGCTTTGTCAGGATGTCCTGTTTTCTTGGCAGATGCTGGGATTTAAGCGCCGGCTATTTCAAGTGGTTTATCCAGGTGCCCATCCTCACGGCTGTGTTGGTGAGTTGGAGAAGTCTGGGAAGGGAGAAAGAGGAGAAATTAACAGGCAGGGGTCAAAAAAGTCAAGATGGAGGATGGGGTTGCAAAGCTGTTCCCCTTTTTTTACAGGCCTTTCCTGTTATTTAAATCAGAGTTACTCAACCTCAGCAAGTTTAAGTTGGCTGGACTTCAACCCCCAGAATTCCCTAGCCGGCATGCTTTAAGAGGGGAGGGCTTCCACTCCCCTTCATAGAACATAAAGTCCCAGGGCTGGAAGGGACCTCAGAGGCCATCTAGTCCAACCCCAAACTGAAGGCAGGAGACCTTACAGGTAATCCTCAGCCTACGACCGCAACCGAGCCCAAAATTTCTGTTGCTAAGCAAGACAGTTGCCACAGTCGTTAAGTGAATCACTGCAATTGTTAAGATAATCACAGGGGTGTTAAGCGAATCTGGCTTCCCCCATTGACTTTGCTTGTCAGAAGGTCGCAAAAGGGGGATCACATGACCCCGGGGACATGGTGAACGTCATAAGTATGAGTCAATTTGCAAGTGTCTGAATTTTTAATTTTGATCACGTGACCGGGGGGATGCTGCAGTGGTCGTAAGTGTGAAAAGTGGTCTTAAGTCACTTTTTGCAGTGCTGTTGTAACTTCGAACAGTCACTAAACGAATGTCTGTATGTCAAGGACTACATGTACACCATCAAACTGGGTTGTCCAGTTTTTGAAACCTCCAGCGAAACTGCCACGACGGGCGAGAATCTCAAAACTTGAGCAAAAATCTCTTCCCCAGACTGCAAGGCACAAATAACCGCACACACAAAGATACACACACAACCCAGTGGCAGGAACAAAGCCGCCACCGTCCCTTGGGGGAGGGGTCTGCAGACCTCAACTCATCTCAGCTTCCTTCAGACATGGGGAAGACAACATTTGCGGGAAACTGAGGCGGACTCCCCAGCCTGAGAATTGTTTTGGGGGTTTTTTTTGCAAAACAAACCAACGTCCACTCTGAGCAAACCATTGTTCTGTGGTCAGTGGACCATAAATGGAAAGATTTTTAAGGCTGGCATTTGACCCGTCATCTCCCGCCAGCCTCCTCCATTCTCACCCCTCCAAAATGTCTGGGTGGTCCAGAAAGTGGGTGGGGGCGGGAGGGGTGCAGGATAGCTGGAATAGCCTGCCGTTAGTTAGATCTCAAACCAGGTTAGCCAGCGAGCGATGCCCTCGGTTTTTGCAACCATGCATCCCCAAAGGGTTGTTGTTGTTGTTGTTGTTTTACATCCTGGCCCTGGAGGTCTGTCTTGTCCCCATCTCACCTTCACCCCCCACCCGGCCCCCAAAACCATCCCTCTGGGTGGGTTTGATTTGATTTGCAATTTGTATTTTTTTTTTCTAGATCCTAGCTGCAATGGGAGGGTGGGGGCGGAGGGAAAGGAAGTAGGTGTGTAATTATAAATATATATATTTTAAAATGTGGTATAGGTTTTGGAAAGACTAATTGCCCAAAGGGGCACTTTTATTGGTATTAAACAATTGCTCCCTTCCTGCCTCCCTTTCCCACGCTCTCCCACTGCTTCCTTCTTTTTTTCTTACTTCCTCCCTTTTTCTTCCTTTTCTCTTCTTTCTTTCTCCTTTTTTCTTCTTCTCTTCTCCTCCTCTTTCTTCTCTTTTTTCTCCTCCTTCTCTTCTCCTTCCCTTTCCTTTTCTTCTTTCCTCCCTATCTTCTCCTTCCTTCTTTCCTTTTTTCTTCTCTTTCTCCTTCTCTTTCTTCTTTCTCTCTTTTTTCCTCTTCTCCTCCTTCTCTTTCTTCTTTCACTTTCTCCTTTTCTTTCCTTTTCTCCTTCCTCCCCTCCTCCTCTTCCCTTCCTCTTTCTTGTTTATCTTCTCCTTTCTCCCTTTCCTTTCTTTCCTCCTTCTTTTCCTTTTCCTTCCTTCCTTTTCTTCTTCCTTCCCTTCCCTTCCCCCTCCTCCCTTCCTTCCTTTTCTCTTACAGGCAAACTTTATCCTGTTTATCAAAATCATCAGAGTACTTGCAACCAAGCTGCGGGAAACAAATGCAGGCAGATGTGATACCAGACAACAGTATCGGTGAGTTGACTGTGTCCCCCTCTTCCCAGGGATTCCTCTCGGCCTGGATGGAGTGACAAAACAGAAGGAAAAGAGGGGAGAATTTGGTCCCAGGAAAGGAAAGGAAAGGAAAGGAAAGGAAAGGAAAGGAAAGGAAAGGAAAGGGGGAGGGAGGGAGGGAGGGAGGGAGGGAGGAAGGAAGGAAGGAAGGAAGAAGGAAAGGAAGAAGGAGAGAAGAAAGAAGAGGGTGAGGAAGGAAGGAAAGAAAAAACAGGAAAGGGAAAGGAAAGGGGGAGGGAGGGAGGAAAGAAGGAAGGAAGAAAGAAAGGAAGAAGGAGAGAAGAAAGAAGAGAAGAAAGAAGAGAAGAAAGAAGAGAGGGTGAGGAAGAAATGAAAGAAAACAGGAAAGGGAAGGGAGGGAGGAAGGAAGGTGAAGGGAAGAGAAAGAAAAGGATGAAGAAGAAAGGGAGGGAGGAAAGGGGAATTGGAAGAAGGAAGGGGAAGGGGAAGAGGAAGAAAAAGAAAAAAGGGAGGGATGGGAAAGGAAAGAAAGAAGATAGAGAAAGAAAATGAAGAAAAGCAAATAAAGGAGGGAGGTGGAAGGAAGGGGAATAGGAGGGAGGAATGAAGAAAAAAGGAAGTGGGAAGAAGGGGAAGGAAACGGAACATGGAATAGGGGAAAGGAAGGAGGAAGGAAGGAAGGAGAATAGGAAGAAGGAAGGGGAAGAAGAAAAATGAAGAAGGGAGGGATATCAAGAAGGAAAGTGAAGAGGAAGAGAAAGGAAAACGGAGGAAGGGAGAAGAGGAAGGAAAAGGAAGGAGAGAGCAAAGGAAAGGTGAAGGAGATCCATGCAACAGCTGCCAATCAGCCCCACGACCCCAAAGGAGTGACGGACAACCGCATCTGACCCCGTCACTAACTGGGCCCCAGAGGGAGCCTCCACTGGCTGCAAATGAGGCGGACACGGAGGCGGAAGAGACGGATTCAAATCTGGAGGCAATTAGCGAGGGGGCACCAAGGCCTGTGGCGGGCGGGCGGGTGGGTGAGTGGGGGGGAGGCGGGTCCCCCCATCCCCTGGCATCGGCCCTCGCGGTGTCCCTGCTGGAAAAACACCCTCCCAGCTGCGTCCAAACCGACATTCGTAGCAACCCTCCAAGAGGGTGAAATAAATCTCGGAGAAAATGATAGGCTGAGAACGAAACTTTGGGGTTTTGCAAAGCCGGGCCAAACAATCCCGCTGGCCTCGGCCTGCTTTGAATTAAAATATTTTCTTTCTAAATTCACATTTCACCCCCCCCCCTCTTTCTTCTCCCCACCCGGAGCTTCCAAGCGAGCCGTGCCAGCCTGACGGACGGACGGAGGTTTTCTTTTCCTCTGCCAGCCTCTCCTCCCCCCCCACCCCCATGTGGCCAGCGGGCCCCGTTCTGCACCATTTGGGGGTCTCAAGGCGTTTCCTGGCAAGGGGAGAAGAGCGAAAAAGGGGCTTATGAGATAGTCCCCAACATACCCCAAACGCAATTGGGGGGGGGGGGCAGGATTTCCCTCGCTAAGCAAGGCGCTTGTTAAACCAGCCGTGCCTGATTTTGCACTTGTGAAAAGCCTGAATCGCTGCAGTCGTTAAGTGAATCATGTGGTGTTAAATAAATCCGACTTCGTATATTGATCTTGCTTGCCCGAACACAGGCTGGGAAGGTTGCAAGGTTCCTTCCTTTCTTCCTTCTTTCCTTTTCTCTCTAATCCCTCCCTCCATCCTTCCTTCCTATTTTCTCTTAAACTCTCTCCTTCCTTCTTCCTTCCTTCCTTCCTTTTCTCTCCTATCCCTCCCTCCTTCCTTCCTTCCTTTTCTCTCATCCCTCCCTCTTTCCTTCTTTCCTTTCTTCCTTCCTTCCTTTTCTCTCTTATCCCTCTCTCCCTCCTTCTTCCTTCCTTCCTTCCTTTTCTCTTTTATCCCTCCCTCCTCTCCTCCTCCTCCTCCCTCCTTCCTTCTAGCACTGATGATGTTCCCTAGTTGGGTCAAGAAACGTCTGCAAGGAGACCACCCAGCTCAGAGAGCACCAAGGACCCCACAGTCAGTCCTTCCTCCTCCTCCTCCTCCTCTTTCTCCTCCTCCTCCTCCTCCTCTTCTTCTTCTTCTTCTTCTCTTCTTCTTCTTCTCCTCCTCCTCCTCCTCTTCTTCTTCTTCTTCTCCTCCTCCTCCTCCTCCTCCTCCTCCTCCTCTTCCTCCCTTCTAACACTGATGATGTTCCCTACCTGGGTCATGGAGCATCTTCAAGAAAAAACACCCAGCTCAGAGAGCATCAGGGACCCCTCCATTCATCCCTGAGCTACAAAGGTTCTCTTCTATCTGTAATTATCACCTTTCCTCCTTCTCTCTTTCTCTGCAGGAAACTGTTGAAATCCACCCTGGTCCTCATGCCATTATTTGGAGTCCACTATATTGTTTTTATGGCCATGCCCTACACTGAGGTTTCCGGAATCCTCTGGCAAATTCAGATGCACTATGAAATGCTGTTTAACTCCTTCCAGGTTCGCATCACTTCTACCCCTTCTTCAAAATCACCAGTTTAGGATTTAGGAAGGGTGGTGAAAATGCAATAAAGTGTTTTTTTTTTTTCCATCCATGCCTTGCATTTCAACTCCCCTAATCCCCACACAACCCAGCCAGGGGCTTCCGGTTTGAGCCTTGTGGGTTCAAGCTTGCAAACTAGAATAGACTCCTCATGAGATTTATGAAGAATTCATTCTTAATAATATTGAATTAAAAAGCAGTTATTAATACTAGTACTTCTTAAATTAATTCTTAAATTTTAATATATGTTATTAGTTATTATCTCTCTCTGAAGTCAAATCAGATTTTTATGAGTCGATTGTAATTTCATTGCTGCCATCCATTCTCTCGATCTTCCTCCATTTTAGTGTCCCATAATCCCCCCTCCAGAAAAGATTACATGGGGCATGATGGAAAATAAATCATGTCAAGCTAAACACTCCTTGACAAAGCAAAACAAGTGAACGCAACACACTGGGTGAAAGCCAATAAACCAGATGACTTAGGTCAGGGGTATAGGCAACCTTGGCTCTTTTATGACTGGTGGACTTCAACTCCCAGAATTCCTGAGCCAGCCACGCTGAGGGGAAAAGGAGAGGTTTCCAAACTGAGCTATGCTGGCTCAGGAATTCTGGGAGTTGAAGTCCACAAGTCATAAAAGAGCCAAGATGGCCTAGCTCTGGACTAGGCCTAGGCTGCTTTATGACTCGTGGACTTCAACTCCCAGAATTCCTGAGCCTGTATGGCTAAGCACGGAAGCCTCTCCCTTTCCCCTCAGCATGGCTGGCTCAGGAATTCTGGGAGTTGAAGTCCACGAGTCATAAAAGAGCCAAGACTGCCTACCCCTGAGTTACTAGGAAGATGAGGGGACTTCAACTCCCAGAATCCCTCTGCCAGCATGGCACCCTATATCAGGAATAGGCCACCTTGGCTCTTTGATGACTGGTGGACTTCAACTCCCAGAATTCCTGAGCCAGCATGGCTCAGCTTGGAAACCTCTCCCTTTCCCCTCAGCATGGCTGGCTCAGGAATTCTGGAAGTTGAAGTCCACCAGTCATCAAAGAGCCAAGGTGGCCTACCCCTGACTTAGGAAGACGTATGAGGGATTCTCCACTATACAGGTAGTCCTCAAGTTACGACCAACCTTGAGGCAACATCTATGCTATTAAGTGAAACATTTGTTAAGTGAGTTTTGCCCCATTTTACAACCTTTCTTGCCACAGTTGTTAAGTGCATCACTGCATTGTTAAGTTAGTCATATGGTCGTTAAATGAATCTGGCTCCTCCATTGACTTTGCTTATCAGACGGTCGCAAAAGAGGATCACGTGACCTCCAGGAGACACTGCGATTGTCATAAATACAAGTCAGTTGCTAAGCTTCTGAGTTTTGATCACAGGGATACTGCGATGGTTGTAAGTGTGAAAAACTTATAAGTCCCTTTTTTTAGTGGCGTTGCAACTCTGAACAGTCACTAAGTGAATTGTTATAAGTCAAGGACTACCTGTATGTTACCCACCCCATTGTGGATTAGGTCAGAGTTGGGGGTCAGCCATGTGAGGCCTAAAAGCTATTCTTGAAGTCAATCCCAGTCCAATTTTATTCCTTCTTTTTCTTCCTAGGGATTTTTCGTCGCAATTATCTACTGCTTTTGTAATGGGGAGGTGAGTATCCCAGTCTGCAGAAACAGAAGCACAAGGAAGGAAAGAAGGAAGGAGGGAAGGAAGGAAGGGAGGGAGGGAGGGAGGGAGGGAGGGAAGGGAAGGAAAGTGAGAGGGGGAGAGGGCATCTTTTCTTCAGAAGTGGGAATAGCTGTACTAAAAAGCTGCCCACCACATAAAACTGATCCCCCAATGAAACATTTTTTCCTTCAAACTTGCTAACTTGAGTCCCCTGCACGGACTTGCCAACGAAATCAGCTGATTAATGGATCGGTTCATCAGATTCCAACTGCTGAGTGGGGGTGTGTGTGTCTCACAAACCATTTTGATTGTGTTTTCGAGATGTGTATGTGGGGGGGGGAGGTTCACGAACCGCCCCAATGACTTCAAAAGTCCCTTCCCATCGATCCCCCCAAAGGACTCACACAACCATCTAAGATCCCTTCAGGTTTCTCCAAATCGTTTTGCAAACTCCAATTTACGCCTCCCCAGAGTGTCTTCCATTAGCGGCTGTGGGTCAGAACTTTCCACCAGTCCCATCCCATAATAACCATCCTTCTCTCCCCCACCCCTACCCCTTTCCTCACCCTCCCCAGGTCCAAGCCGAGATTAAGAAGTCGTGGAGCCGATGGACATTAGCACTGGACTTCCGAAGAAAGGCGCGGAGTGGGAGCACCACCTACAGCTACGGACCCATGGTGTCCCACACCAGTGTCACGAATGTCACCGCCAAAGGGGGCATGCCGCTCCCTCTGAACGGCAAACCAGCCCCGGGAGCCCTCAACGGACACCGGAATTTGCCTGGGTACATCAGGAACGGGTCCATTTCAGAAAACTCAATGGCGTCTTCAGGGCCCGAGCATTACAGCAAAGAGGAGGAATATCTGAACAGCTCCGGACTTTACAACGGCTACAAGCCAGCTGCCCTGTTGGAAAAAGAAGAAGAATCTGTGATGTAAAGTGGACAAAATGAGATGAGGGCTAGACAGCCCCACTTAGGGCTCCCTGAAAACACTGAGGGTGGCAAGCAACTTCCAGTAAAATTGATCCCCATTGCGGTTTTGGGGAGGGGGGTTTGACTCTCCACTCGATTCTTTGCAACGAGAAACACCATTTTGCCGGAATGAAGGACAGCAACAATTTTGGCAACCCGGCAGAGTCCCTGCATTCTCCTGCCCTAGAAGGCAAGGGTGATCCCCATTATCTTTGGGGAGCACAGGGGAAAGGGGCCAGTGCTCCCAGGGCATTCAGAGTTTTTCTCCTTAGGGGGAACGAAAAGGACTCTGCCAATAGATTGATCCGATCCATCCAGGAACATTTCAGAGCAAAACTTTCTTGCACCTTCGTGGCTGATTTGCTTTTAAGATTTGATTTAGCAGGGGGGGGGGAAAAAACCACAATGCATGTTGTATCCAGAGAGGACTTTCCCCCCCTCCAGCGCTGTATGTTTTAAGCGACCAAGTGAAAACAAGGGTTTCGCAATCGAAAGAAAATTGAAATTATTTTCCTGCTTGTCCTTTATCCTGTTATCTTTTTGCTTCCGTCTTACCGCATGAGAAAATAATATTGTCCCGGGCTCTTATTCCTGGTCACTCAGCCCCCCCTCCTCCACCCTTCCCCCGAGCAAAGGCATCAAGAGATTGTCCAGCATTTATTGTGGAAGGATACATTATGATTCGATCAATAATCTAGAGTCTGCTGTGCATAAAACAGTGAGTCAGTTCAAAAGCAAAACAGACGATAATATTGTCTCTCTGTCCGGAGACAGATCATTGATTCACAATAACAGGGAAAACCAGCGCTGGATAGAGAACGAAGTGGGAAGGAGGCTGGATGCAGGCAACGGAACTCTGGGTTTGGGTCCTTCATCCCTGCATCAGGATTATGAGCTTGGGAACCCACCTGGGACCAAGGGCAACCCTCTGAGGATCAGATGAGCAGGTTAAAAAGGTCGTGAAGAAATGAGCGCTGTTTGCACTATCCAATGGAAAGAAGGAATGAGAGAGATTGGATAGAGAAATGGGGATTGACCCCTGTCCAACGGGGGCTGTTTTTCTCACCTCCCAAACATTGTGTTTTTCTACCTCTCCTATTCAGCGCCATTTGTGGTAAAAAAATTTGGGGGGTGTTTGTGAACTTGGGCCCATCCCAGAGTGATAGAGGGTGGGGTTCTGGGGCAGCCAATACGTTGGTTTGCTCATGAGCGACTCATGTCGAAGAAAAGTACATGGTGTTATCCCCAGCCTCTTTGACAGTGGGCCGGAACAAACCGCCTCCCCCCCATCAGCGCCCGAGAAACAGAAGACGGTTCTGTTTTCCAAAGATCCGGCTACGAGGAACCCAAAAAATTTTAAGTGGACAATTTTGCTTTTAAGGTTGTGCACGAAGGCACTGTTGCATTAAGGTGACAGTTTTCAAGCTGGTCCCTCTCTCTCATAAATGGATCAAGTCTTATTCTGCCATTCATTAAACAGACTGAGAATCAGCTAAAAGGGAATTTTTATTCTTTACAAAAATTCCAGACTTTAGGAAGAAGGGACTCTAAGCCATTTTCCTAGCATTGTACAACTTACAACTATAATTGGGACCAGAATTCCCACTGTGGTAGTTAAGTGAAGGGCAAGCGGTTTTATAACCTTTTTGCCACAGTTGTTAAGAGAAGCGTTGCAGTTGTTAAACGAATCACATAATCATTAAATGAATCACACAGTGGTTAAGTGAATGCGGCTTCAGAAGCAAGTTGGGAAAGTTGCAAATGGTTGGTTTGCTTGCAACCATTGTAAATACAATTAGTCCTCGACTTAAGCGTTCATTTAATGACCATTCATGGTTACAACGGCACTGGAAAAAGGACTGTTTTTCCCACTTAACGACTGTAGGAGCATGCCCATGGTCACATGATCAAAATTCAGGCGCTTGGCAACCGACTCATATTTATGACGATGTCTCTCAGGGTCACGTGATCCTCTATTTTGTGACTTTCTGGCAAATGGTGGAAGCCAGATTCACTTCAGAATTGTGTTAGTAACTTAACAAATGCAGTGACTCACTTAACAACTGCGGCAAAGAGGTCATAAAATCAGGCTAAAACTCACTGAACAAATGTCTCACTTAGCAACAGATATTTTGGAGGTCAGTCACGATCGTAGGTTGAGGACTACCTGGAAAGTGCCTGAATTTTTATCACATGACCGCAGGGTCCGCTACCACGCTTGTAACTGCGAGGAGTGTTCATAACTCACTTTTTTCAATGGTGTTGTAACTTTGAACGGTCACTAAATGAATGGTTGTAAACCAAGGACTGTTGCAGATTAAGGAATCAGTTCATCCCAACTCCAGGATAAGGTATCCTTCTTAACTGAGCTGGGACCGATGACATAATTTATAATAATAATAATAATAATAATAATAATAAAGTTGGAAGGGACTTTGGAGGTCATCTAGTCCAACCCCCTGCTCAGGCAGGAATTTCATTTTCTACCCTGATTTTTAAATATTATTAAGGCATAAAATTGCTAGAAAACGTCTCCTCCTGCAAATAGGAGCACTGGGTTTGGCTTTTTAATAAATGAAAGAAAGTGCAGCACCCAGAATCCCTTGCAAGGAAGCCATGACAGATCATCATCGCTGCTTTGATAAAGGACTCACTCACTTGGATTGAATGCGTTCCCATCTTTGGGTGTCTCCAGGGGGGTGTTCAGAAAAAGTCATCCAGGGTTTGGCTGCACAATCACAGAAGCCATTTTGACTTTTTTGACCCTCTTCTCCCCCCCTTCTCCCCCTCCTGCCTGCCCGTCTGGTCATATACACCGCTTGCAATAGCAAACAATTGGAGGGAAACAAAATCGCTCTGAAAATTAAGGTTGCGATAAAAAAATATGATTTTGTTTTTTTAAAAAATAAGCTGGTTTCTGCCCTTCGAATTTGCACAATGGATGTTATATTGTCTAATAATTTATTCCACCGTGTTTTGTTTAATTTATGCTGCTTCGGTGAAATTTTGTGAAAAGGGTGGGGGAGCTGCGAAGGGAAGCAATGGATGCTTTCTCCGGACTCCTACACACCCCGAGCACATGGACCCCCAAATCGCTCAGATTCTTACTCAACCCCCCGCCTTTCTGAAACCTCCTCTATGGTTGCAGCCATGAGGACTAGGAACTTCCCCATTTAAAACCAAATAAAAGCTGAACTCTCTAGCTAATGCCAGCATTCTGTGATATGTGTTTTTTACTTGTGTGTTTCCATGGGACACAAATACAGGCGGCCCTTGACTTACGACCTGCTAAGTGAGAAGGTTGTTACATTTTACCTTTATCTTATTACCTGTCTTGCCAGAGTTGTTAAGTGAATCACTATGGTTGTTAATTTAGTCACATGGTCGCTAAGTGAATCTGGCTCCCCTATTTGATTTGGCTTGTCAGAAGGTGGCAAAAAAAGGATCACGTGACTCCGGGAGGCTGTGACCGAAGCAAATAGGGGGTCAAGGGCCGAGTGTCCAAATTGTGATCACATGAAATGCTAAAATGGTCGTAAGTGTGAAAAAGTCACACTTTTTTTCAGTGTGTAATAAGTCATTTTTTTCACCGCTGTGGTAATTCTGGTCACTAAACAAACAGTTATAAAGCGAGGATGACCTGTAGCATTCTCTCTCGTTCCCCCAAAGTTATATTGTAAATATTGAGAAAGGAGAAGGAGGATTGTGGGGTCCTTGGTGCTTTCTGAGCTAGATGGTCTCCTTGCAGACATTTCATGACCCAACTAGGGAACCTCATCAGTGCTAGAAGAGAGGAGGAGGAGGAAGAGGAGGAGGAGGAGGAGGAAGGAAGGAAGGAAGGAAGGAAGGAAGGAAGGAAGGAAGGAAGGAAGGAAGGAAGGAAGGAAGGAAGGAAGGAAGGAAGGAAGGAAGGTGGAGTCCTTGGTGCTGTCTGAACTGGGTGGTTTCCTTGCAGACATTTCATGACCCAACTTGGGAACATCATCAGTGCTGGAAGGGAGGAAGAGGAGGAAGAGGAGGAGGAGGAGGAAGAGGAGGAGGAGAACTATGGGGTCCTTGATGCTCTCTGAGCTCGGGGGTTTCCTTGCAGACGTTTCATGACCCAACAAGGCAACATCACCAGGGCTAGGGGGCTGTAGAGAGGAGGAGGAGGAGGGGGGGGAGGAAAAGACTGTGAGGGTCCTTGGTGCTGAGCCTAATCAATTTCTTGCAGAAAGCCATCATAAGTCCAGGATTAGCTGCATAGCTTGATTTTTGATAGCTCAGATCTCCCAAAGAGCAAAAGCTGGAATCAACAGCAATTTGGGCCACGAATCCAGATTGCCAAGGCTGGGAATCCTCACCAGAGATTTTATTCCAGATTTTTCCAAGCAAGAAAATGTTGGCTTCAGCTTGCACCGCACTGTGCACATACACACACACACACAAAAAAAAAAAAACACGCACAAACACAACAAGCACTGCTTGGCAGGCCGCTGCCAGCGCCCCACCAACGTTTAATTGAATTGTCATTTTGAAAAGCCAGATGCCCAGAATTTCTTTCCCAAGTTGTAAAATGACGTTCAAAACTCAGCATGTGGAATGTGAGGCTCTGATCACAATTATCTCGTTGCTCAATCACGGCCCATTCTGGCCACTTTCCAGGCAACGCTTATTTACGGGTCAAAAAAAAAAATAGCTCCCAGTTTTATTTATTGATTTGTTTCTTTTATGCATTAATTTTAATTTTGTGTAATGTAGTAAATTACTTATACATGTTTATACATGTACCATATTTATACATATGTTTGCTGCCTTGAGTTACTTATAAAGTAATAAAATACTTTATTGCTTCATAAGTAATTCAAGACAGCGAACATGTATACAACTCTTCCCTCTTCTTATTTTCCCCACAACAAAAACTCTGTGAGGTGCGTTGGGACCAGAGAGAGGGACTGGCCTCAGGTCACCCAGCTGGCTTTTATGGCTAAGGCAGGACTAGAACTCCCCGTCTCCTGGTGATTGGCCCAAAGTCACCCAGCCGTCTTTCCACACCTAAAGTGGGACTAGAATTCACCTTCTCCTGGTGATTGGCCCAAAGTCATCCAGCCGCCTTTCCACACCTAAAGTGGGACTAGAATTCACCTTCTCCTGGTGATTGGCTCAAAGTCACCCAGCCGTCTTTCCACACCTAAAGTGGGACTAGAATTCACCTTCTCCTGGTGATTGGCCCAAAGTCACCCAGCCGTCTTTCCACACCTAAAGTGGGACTAGAATTCACCTTCTCCTGGTGATTGGCCCAAAGTCACCCAGCCGTCTTTCCACACCTAAAGTGGGACTAGAATTCACCTTCTCCTGATGATTGGCCCAAAGTCATCCAGCCGTCTTTCCACACCTAAAGTGGGACTAGAATTCACCTTCTCCTGGTGATTGGCCCAAAGTCATCCAGCCGTCTTTCCACACCTAAAGTGGGACTAGAATTCACCTTCTCCTGGTGATTGGCTCAAAGTCACCCAGCCGTCTTTCCACACCTAAAGTGGGAC